GGGGGGGGGGGGGGGGGCGAGAGGGTAGTAAGTACAACACGATTCGGATCGATTTGACATTTCTGTATGAACTTTTATTGCCGGGGTCCTGCCGTGTCCGCGGGCGTATCTAGTCTCATGATGAGTTTTGGGCAGTCGTCGTTGTCTCGTGAATACTTAATGTAGCGTCGGGAGAATACTATATCGATCCACAGAGTGTTTACCCGAGACAAACAATATTGTGACGACTCGCCGCCGGGATAGATACCTCGCGGTGAAAAGTTATCGTGATTTGTGATGGTTTGAGTGTAACGACACACGACAAAGTTATTTTTACTTACATATCGTGTCTCGAGTATGAGTAATAAATTCACGTAATATACTATTATACTATTATATAGTATAGTGTAATGTATGTTAACTAAAACAAATTACAAGTATTATGTAATCGCGTTGTGTACATTTACACGCGTATTGGTGGTACGTATATAAATTAATTTTGATCGTGCGAAAGAAGTAAATTCGTCTTTTTTATTCAATATAGTTACGACTGTTACGAGACACGAGTAAAAATAGTATTGGCTTTGGTAGCATACTATAGGTTAGGTTAGTATATGCTTTACATTTCTACAGTCGAATAATTTTTACGGCGCAGGATTATAATTACCTATTTAAAATATTACTACACAGTACGTATGATATAATATTGAGACAATTAGTATAGAATATAATATATTATCTAAACTCTAAGGTGAGTCTATTATCCATCATATATTTATGTACCAATATTAAGTTAATATTAACTAGGTTACAAAATAAGATGCCAAACCAACTTGACTTACAAAACTTTATGATAGTGTGAAATTCGTGACTCTGAAGTTTATTATTTAAGCGCTAACGGAAAAACACAAATTATGTGCTACTATCTAGTAGACAATTTTTGAAGAGAGATTGCTGTTGTTGCTATAATAGCTATTCTAAATAGGATTGAAATATTATACAGGATAATAACCTATCCATTGGCCATACAGTGTATTTGATAAAATTTATACGACCTAGAAAACAAATTGACTTCTTGGATCCCAGTAACTTTAACTTTTTAAGGAAGTAAATTTGACTGGAGGGAAATTTGCATTTAAAATTTCCTATCATCGTAATAAATGTAGGAAAAGCGGGTAATATCGTGCATTTTGTTGTATAGTATATCATATTTTACTTTTGTTTTAATAAATAGTAAGTTTGTATATACTTAAACTAATGTAAGTTTGGTATTAAGTTTTTAACCAGACGTCCTGGCCAATGATACTTATACTGAGACGAAAAAAAACGTATGAAATTACTCGTAAAGTCGTAACTAGAATCACAGGATTTTAAAGAAATAGAAAGTGCGTCCTTAAGCATTAATATATTATGTCGACAATAAGACGAAAGCTCAAAAGTTAATTTGAATAATTAAATAACAGTTATGAAAAAATGTTGTTAATTAATATTATTTATTAGTTTTATGTGTTGTTATAGGTACGCCGCAAAAATGAATAATATTGTTTACTCGACAATTCCTACAACATTTCTTCATAAGTGCTCAGTATCGTATGTGGTGCGAGCTAATTCAATCCCTTAAACATGACTTAGCGATCCACGACGATCGATCTATTAAATTTTACTGAACCGTCGGAGGAATCAGTTTTATTTCACGTGACTTTGTACTATAAAAATGTAAATCTATATTTATAAACGAGACCGTCTCGAGTGACTGATTCGTAATCAACGCAGAACCGAACCAATTTTTAGAGTTATCGATTTGAAATTTCAAGGGTATATTAATATTATAATTTCATTGTGCGCTTTTATTTTGATTTTAAGAGGTTGAAATAGGCAAAAACTAAAATTTTACGAGTAAATTGTACTCCTCTTTGCATGCGCTATTTTGAGCAGTGAGCTCACATTTTTAGGCTCTTTTTCGCGTTAAGTTGAACGTGGACAATTATTTTATGTGGCGTATTCTCCCAAGACAGTAAGCCCGCGAGTCTAGTAATTTTGGCACCAAATGGAGATACGTAATTATTACAGAGAAGTTTTATAGCAAAATCGTTGTCGTGAGTTATTAATTTATCATATACCAATGAAAATTTCGCGGGCAAAACCGCGACGGGTAACCCGCTACTAGTGGTCCATCTTATGTGTACCTACATAATATGATGACTCGTCCCGAGTGGTTCATCATCGTCAACCCGGAACCGCTGAAGAAGCTACGAGTATGATACGTATAGACAGTGGTTTTGTTTCGTGACGTACAGACACCAGCTAGGCGTACTAGAGGAAGGGATCTTTCAAAATTCAACCCCTACGTGCAGGGGTTAAAAGGGTTAGAAACTGCACTCGGGCGAACCCGACCGGTTGTTGTGCAGCTGTATAGTAATCTACGATAACGATAAAACTCGTCTTACCTTGGCGGCGCCGTAAACGCTGAGCATCGGACACGGGAGATGAGCCGAAGCCGACGACACGTTGACGACAACGCCGCCGGCGCCGGCCACCATCAGCGGCATGACTGTGCTGCACATGGCCACGGTGGCCAGCGCGTTGCACTCGACCATGTCCCGGCACGGATCGGGTGGCGCGCCGGCACAGGCGGGCGCCAGGTCGAGCAGTCGTTCCGGCCGCGCGTAACTCACGCCCGCGTTGTTCACCAGCAGCCTTACGTCCATGCGGCCGAGCTCGTGCCGCACCTTGTCGTAACTGTTGGCCAGCGGCACGTCGCCGCCTAACGACGTGAAGTCCGCGGCCACGATTTTGGTCTTCACGCGGCCCGCGTGCCGTTCGTCTGCGTCACGCACGCCAACACAACAATAATTAATAATATAATATCCAATATAATATTGTGTAATAATACAATAAAACGCCTGCGCGAGAGGACGCCGCCTCGACGGCGGTAACGACGTGTTTAGGGACGTTAGCGTTATTATCGTTCACGACCTACAGCCATCGCCTGCATTCGTCGCGCGATCGAGAGTGAGAGAGAGAGAGAGAGAGAGAGAGTCGTGGACAATTTTTTTTTTTTTTACCACATAGGTATCTGATGCGATATCTGATTTTATTGCACAGTAAAATATAAACATGAAAATTAATTAAAAAAAAAAAAAATAATAATAAATGTCTGTGTTGGTGTCTTCAAAAAATAAACCATAGAAAAAATATACTTATCATAATGTTCATACATATGTAACAATTTTTATGAATTTATAACAAAATAACCTGAAGATTTTACATGTATGCGCCAGATTTTAGGAGTTGGTAAGTTCTTGAAAATGTTTGTACGTCCTAATAGTTTTGAGTGATACTTTTTTAGTTGGAGGTTGAGTAAGGGGATAATAGAGGTGGTAACAAACATACATATATATATATATATACACCGTTTAAAACTTTTTTTCATATCATTGTTTGTGTTTGCATAATTATGAAATCATGTAAGTGCTACTGATATAATATATACTATAGGTATACATATTTCAGTTCCCCTCTCAACAAATGTCGGCTATTTGTGTCTACATGTATATTAGTATTTATTAAATAATAGGTTTCAGCACTGGAATAATTGCGAAGGCAAATTTCAAACCTATAACTTTTAGTTTTTCATTATATAATAAGATTAATATTTTTTATGTATTCAAGTAATGTATAATATAATAGTTATTAGTTTGCATACCCAGTGTAAGTAAGTTTTAAGTTCAAATATAAAGTTATATTAATACAATTGTATATTTGTATGCCGTCAATTGACTATTACATTGAGTACTAAAATAAAGCAATGATCGCAGGATCATAAATAGAACATTTGATAACATTAGTAATTAGTGCGGACTGGTATATAATATATGGAGTACATAACCTTAGAAATTTTCATTTATAAACGTTAAAATATGAACTAAATGTTTCAATATTAAATTGTTTGCAGCAACACAAATTTTCCTAGAATGGACTATTATAGTCTATAGCATTATGTAGTACATCGTATTTTCAATAATATTGTTATAACTTATAAGTTATAACTATTATAACATAGGTGTACGGGATTCGTTATAACGGCTTGCAACTTGTCCGGAGTTCAGCGCCACATTCATTCCCCGATCGGCCAACTAATTAGTTATGCGTACACACGCAATTGAAAATAATACAACAGTATTTAAAATGAGCAATACGTAACTGAACGAAGTACCGA